AAATACACACTCCTCCTTGATAATATCAGTCTGCCTGACAGCATCATCTGGTGGAGGCTGCAGATGTCAGTGCACCTGGGAAAATGAGATTTAGTTCTAATTAGTCCAGTTAGTGGCAGTTCACTCTGTAGAGCTGTATCCACTCTGTTCCCATCTCAGTAATTATCATCATAATGCATCATTACCCACATCATAGTCTTATAACACCACCTTCATTCAGCCTGCTCTCATTGATGTTTAATGATTTATCATGCACACCGTCGGCTTTCTAATGCACACCATGAGAGTACGCACAGTGCACGATACAAGCAGTGAACAGGAAAACGAATCAAATACTGATTCCAAGACAAAAAAAGTTGTGGTTCTATTTGATCACTTCATGTAATTCTCAGCCACCAACATCTCTGATTCTTTCCTGATCAGCTGACAATATCAAATGAAAGCCAACACATCGTGAAAGGCACAAAACAGCGCCAGCCTGCAGCTAAACATCTGTAACCTCCCGTCCTGCTGAGACTCTTCTTCCAGAAACATCTTTGACTGGTGAAACAGTGAAGGCACCAGCCATTGTGGCCGGTGGATGAAAATGTTAATTTCCTTCCTTGATAATGATGCATGTCATTTCTAAATGTGATTATAGAGACAAAATGGTGTGTAACCCATTTGTAATGTGCTTAAGATGTTTTAAAAAGCATTACCATGCCTGCACACTGTGTAATGTAAAGGCTCCTTCAGGAAACCTTCCAGGTTTTCCAGATTAAAACCACAGGGGCACTTGGATGGTTCCTTGAGGAACCCCAGGATTAAGGGTTCTTAAAATACAAAGGTAATTTGAGGCACTTGTGACATGGAAGCTCTCTGGGGGATTTGTTTCCTAAGGGATTATGATTTGTAAGGGAATAAATGATTGTTCAGCACCAGCCTCTGTTTTCTGCACAACGCTGTACTTTAAAGTGTTAAGAGAGGCAGACTGATCCATATGTGATTCTAGATACTTAAATAATCTGGCTGATTATGTATAAAACTATTCCTGTGCACAGTATTATGCTGAATCATTAGCGGTGTTAAATGAGTTCATAAATTCCAAATCCCTTATTTGTGTATGTTTATAGTGTATGCCATTGGTCTTCTGCTTATGTTTAAATGTCCTTTAACTCTCTCTCTGTTTTGCAATGATAAATGCTACCATGAGGAGTTTTCCTTTTATTTTTAAACTTGTCAAGAAGCCAACAGATGCTGTGCCAATTTTTTGTGTTGTGAGCAACTGTAAGGTCAGAGAATGGATCTCTGGACTTCCTGGAAAATTATGGTCAGGGGGACTAAATAAAAATAACTTCAATTAGTCAGCAATGACCTTTGACATGCACTCACCCTCCGTTTGGTCTGGTGGAGCCACTGTGGTCATGAATATCATGCTCCAATGTGAAGCGTGGCTTAGGACCAAACCCCTCAATGCAATGAAAAAAAAAAGCATCTCAGTTAAACAAAGGATCCTGAATTCAAAATTAGGTCAAGTGTCCAATAATGATGAAGAGAAGTGTGCTGTAGGTGGCCAGGTAACACTGCAGCCTCACTGTCCTGTGCAAACAGAGGAGAGCCTGTGTGGACACAGCCAGCGGGGTGATGCCAGACCAGCCATGACAGCTGTCTGCTTTTATATATCTGAGTCTGCTGCAGCGCTCACTGTCTCTACACACAGATACTGTAAAACCAGGCGGGTTAGAGGTTGGGAGGCTGTGCACTCTCATCATAATCATATGTCCTTAACATGGACAAACAGTAGAAAATGTGTCTGATCAAAATTGTGCCTTTATAGATCTGGGTCATCTCTGGATTGGTGCAAATAAACATTTTTATTGTCAATTAATCTAGACATTGTTCCCTATTAATACTGGTTTGTGTCCTCACTACTGTTTCCTGGAATTCTCCTGAAAATTCTTTATGAGTTTAAGGCTCAGTTTTCTGTAGCTTATCACACAAACACAATAGTCTTGGGAGCTTTATATATAGAAATTCAATCATGACTGGGACATTTGTTGTGGCAAATCTCTTTAAAACAGGGTCATATGTTTTTAAAAATAGGCACATTTCCTGATCCAAACAGGAAATAAGAAGCCCACAGCTGTGTGAAACTTAGTCTGTAGCCTCTTGCTAATGGCATGACTCGCTGTGGTCTTGAGTCTGACTCAGATGTGACTCAGGTGGTCCTGATTGCAGCCCTGTTGGGGGGGTGGGGGTGGGGGGGGGTTTGGAGCAGCGTCGGCACCAGGCTCATCTTTCCACAGCTCTGATATCTGCTCAGTTACACTTCACAGTTTACTTCTGTAGCTCAGTGGTCTCCTGCAGTTCACCTTGCAGGGCCAGGAGCTTGCACGTTCCTGTGACACTTAAGCAGCTAGCTTACAACACAGAGATCCCCGCACATTCAAAATAAAACCACATTATTTATAGAGCACATATCCTGTGTAGTGGATCTGCGTATATACTGTATGCTACTGTTAATATAAAATTGCCCTTAAAATAATATCTGGACCATCACTTAAGGCAGAGATTTACACTGTGGGGAATAAACCTGCAACAAAAAACAACCATTTGCCGTTTTCTTTTCAAATACTGGATATTTTCACTTCATCTGGCCTCTAGTCAAATTTCTGTCAACACTGGAAAAAGGGATATTTGATGAGGAGTAAACACTGCTTGGGTTTATGGGGTGACAAGCAAAAAGTTTAAATACTCCCAGCGGTGCGGTTGTACTGGGGAGGTCTGGACTCATGAGCTCAATATTTCTACTGTAAATTTCTAAAATTCTCTTTAGAGTAATGGTCAATATCGAGAAAAACAAAATGAAGACTTTGGAGTGGCCTAGTCAAAGTCCTGACCTGAATCCAATTGAGATGCTGTGGCATGACCTTAAAAAGGCAGTTCATGCCCGAAAACCCTCCAATGTGGCTGACTTACAACACTTCTGCAAAGATGAGTGGGCCAAAATTCCTCCACAGCGCTGTGGCAGACTCATGGCAAGTTATCGAAAACGCTTGATTGCAGTTGTTGCTGCTAAGGGTGGCCCAACCAGTTATTAGGTTTAGGGGGCAAACACTTATTCACACAGGGCTTTGTAGTTTTGGATTTTGTTTTCCCTTAATAATAAAAACCTTCATTTAAAAACTGCATGATGTGTTTACTTGTGTTATCGTTGACTAATATTTAAATTTGTTTGATGATCTGAAACATTACAGTGTGACAAACATGCAAAAAGATAAGAAATCAGTAAGGGGGCAAATACTTTTTCACACCACTGTATTTCAGCAGAAAGGCTCCTAAATTACAAGGTGAGTAGGAGTAGAACAGGCTAATGTCAGCCCTTGGACTTCTAATAATCATCTTTATTGCAGTAAACTGAGGCTCTGAACCAAGAGCTCTTCTAATCAGCAAGATAATCTGATAATCTAATCAGATTAGGCACAAAGAAAAAGTTTATATTTAAATTTGACTAGAGCTGAGTTTGCTGTGGAACCAGCCCTTTCTTCATTTCTTAAGACACAAAAATAATCAATTTGTTCAGTGTATAAAAGGTGACATGATGTGGGAAAATGTGACAAATGTTAAGGTTTCAGTCAAGCAGCCACCATCACATTTGGATATAATGATTTTTTTCTGCATCTTAACCTTTTTATTTTATTTTTTTTTGTCAGTGCAAAACTGGTATTTATGATTCAGGATACACACACCTGACACTATCTTTTGAAAAAAAAAAAATGCTTCAAGAGTGCAGGTCCATTCACAGTTCTTTGATTGTCCAATCTACCTACATTTGAGTAACACTTTATAATTGCTGTGCTGAACCTGTCTGGGTCTCTAAATTAAAGTCGGGGCTTTAAATCAAAACTGCACTTTTCTAAGTGCTGCTTTCTGCCTATATTATCAGATTCAGGATTTTGTTGGACCCTGATAGAAGAAGTCTTTGTAACAAATTTTAAAACATCTTCCACTACAAAGTCTGGCAAACAGAGGAAGAAAATATTATACTGTTTTTTGGTACGATCCCTGAATCAAAACCAGAAGCTTGTTTCACTGGTGTTTATAGAAGACAAAGCCACCCTGACCATCATTTGCTGGATCAGTGAGCCCAGCAGCCACGCTGTGATTCTCAAGGTGCTTCAGGGTGCTACGGTCACCTTGTTTTGGCCCAGAAGCCTGGGCCTGATCTCTCCTGAGAGTCTGGGAGGGCACATGGAGCTGTCAGCGCCTTGACCCAACAGTTCCTGCCAAGTTGCCTCTTCAGGGAATCTGGGTCGCCTTCTCATCACAGCACAGGGAGGGAAAAGCAGCTAAACATAGCTTCAGGTTGTTTCTGGGCACTGATTAGCATAATAGTCATGCTTTTAAATACAGATGGTAGTTAATTACAATTAACAAAATGGCTTTTAGATGAGGCTCTATGGTGTTTTAATGACAGATTTGAATAACATTAATGTCCAGGTATATGTGGAGGTTGTGGAATAAAAACCCTGAGTTGACTAAAAGGAAACAAAACCACGAGAGAGAGAAAACAACAGCATGTGAAACGGCTGAGATGGTGGAAAATGACCTTAATATCCTTTCTTTCCAGGCGCAAATGTCTCGCTCTCCTTCTAAAAATGCTAACAGAAAAGCACAGTATATTTCTGATGCTGTTTATCAGTTAAGAAACAAGAGGTTACTGATATAACTGGGGTTTTTTACAACTGAAACATAACATCTAGTACAAGAAAAGCCACAGTTAATGTGTCTACAAGCAGCTATATAATAAAAACTAGCTGCCCATATGTCCTGTCAAAGTGCTCCCAAGCAAGACGCTGTCATGATTAACATGTACAAGTCCCTTTGTTTCAGTAATTGGAAACGTCAGTAGGTCAGCGCTGCACTAATTCCCTGCAATTTTCTGAGACATGTCAGAGAATAAAAGCCTGTCTCGCCTCGACCCTCTGCGTGATTTAAATGTGTAGCCTTGTTCGGCAGCTCATGGTCATGACACCTCTGAAGAAAAACACTATTACACTGTTCATTATTAAGTGGCTGCCCATGCAAGACAAAACAACAACAACAACAACAACAGAGGGGCTGATGAAGTGTCTCCATGGATATCAGACAGGCTGAGTGCGCCAAGACGGTTTTTATTTTATCATTTTCATTTTTATGACAGCACACAGTCTAGTTTTGAGGAAGCCTATTACTGTCCTCCCACACACACCCATCAGTAGCAGGCGCACCACGACCTCAATAACCCTCCACACACACACAGACTGGTTTAGTCCATTTAAGATGCTACATGCCCAGGGACACTCTCAGAGCACTACTGCCATCAAGTGGCCGCGCCCGGCACAACATTCTGCATATAGAAACGCTGCACTGTACTTTAAGATTTTATGGTACTTCACACTTCCACCGCTACACATTTCAAGCTAAAAATGTACTGCATTTATCTGACTACTGCAGTTCTGCATTTTAAGCACACAATGAGCTTATAAAATACAACACATCCAGGACCTTTACTCAAGTAATAGTTGTAATATCTAAGTGTAACAATACTCAGTTACAAGTACTGCATTCACAATGTTTTAGTTTCAGTAAAACGAAGTTAGAAGTATGAAACATAACAAAAGTACATTTTTATCAAGTACTGTCTTTAAGCAATTTTGAGATACTTGTGCTTTACTTGAATACTTTCATTTTATGCAACTTCATACTTCTACTCCACATTTCAGAGGCAAATGTACTTTTTTTCCTCCAGTACATTTATTTAACAACTTAGGCTGCTTTGCCGCTTCATTCAACAAATAAATTACTAGAGATAAAGTTTTACTGATCCCTCGGGGGTATTTTACAAGCTTTACTATAGTATATGAAGTAATTGAAATAATTACCCATTTGCATCATTACAGTGTATCAGTAAGTACATATATCCCAGTAATATGATTTTGCATAATAAATATGGTTACTTTTAATACATTTAAGTAGATTTTGATGCTAATACCTTTTCACTTAAGTACAATTTCAAATGTGGTGCAAAAGTATTTTTACACTGCAGTATTACTACTTTAACTAAGTACTTTTACCTTATATGTAACAGTGCATCATAACTTGTTTGGATGTGAGTAAAAAGTACATCTGGCTCTTAAATGTAGTGAAGTAGAAATGCAAGGCAACCAAAATAACAAAATAATCTAAATTAGTTTTACATGTACTTACAATACACAAGTATATAAATGTACTTTGATCCTTTCAACCCCTGTTCTCGACTTCTGAAACGGTAGCCGGCAGCCTCACCACCGAGGTCCAGGTATTAACTGTTCTGGGGCTTTTGATCATATTACAAGGTCTTCGTCAGGAGATGGGACTGTAGGTGTTCAAACTTTTCTAAATTCTCACATTTTAAGGCAGTACAAAGGAGATGAGCTTAAAAAAAAAACTGAAATGTGAACAATAAAATCACTAACCACTGTGAGGAAGTCGGTGTGATGTGACTGAAAGCTCCAGAACTGTGACTAAATGGACATTTTTGTGAGATTGTTTTGCCAGCAAACATTTTGCAGGTAAATCATCTCTGTCTCTGTGGCAGAACGTTAACTCACCTCAGAAAAAGAAGTCTGTCCCATAAATGTCAATTCATGGCCCTTTCTCTTACTTGTTGCTCCTGGAGTTTTCAACTTTATCTCAAGGTTAAGAAAACACACACACACACACACACACACACACACACAGAGACAAGTTCAGCCTGGGCTACAATCTGAGATGCTAGAGGGTTGTGTTACTGTTTAACACAACATACATTTAATAACAGTTTTATGATTAAGCACACTGATGTTATTGGCCTTCGTTCGCCACAGAGGCAGAAAAACCACCTAAAATGGAAATAGCTCATTTTCTTTACACTTCTTCAAAACAGAACTTTATTAATTCTGTTTTCATGGCTTTTCCAGCGAGATGACACTTAAAAACACAGAATACTGGGAATTCTTTGGCATGAAAATCAAGGACAGTAGCTACCAGTGTGTGTCAGCTATTGCCAGCTTCAGTACAAAAGCATCCAGGATGTGCTGAAAACGACTGGTGGCTCTGTAGGAGTGTGGTACAGTAAAGAGATCCTTAAAATAATAAGTTAAGACAGCAATGATGATTACGAGGCTTACAGAAGGTTTCTAAGAGGCACTTCTTCGGTAAATTATACAGCAATCAAACATCTATCTCAGACAAACTTCTTCACACAACACTTTTGTTTTGAAAGAAGCGATGAAATCTGAAACGAAGACGAGGCGATGTGACATCTTTCCAATGCAGGGATCCTGCTTTAAACTCAAGTTAATGTCACACGAAGCTGCATCGGAAACAGATTCAACCAGCGAAGATTCTGTACAACACTGTTTAATTCAAGTACTACAGGGGCTCCCAACACCCAGGCCATGGAGGATTTGCCAGGAAACAATGTGAATCTGCAAAAAGTTCCATAATTATTATAAACATTCAAAGCTATTGGAGAGAGTTTTGCAGTATTTTGCAGTACCATCTTCATGTATATATTATTTTGTCCCTTTTCTTCTTAAGCTAAACCTGCATCCTAATCCAAACCAAGATGGCAGGAACCATTAGCATGTTGCTTAAATTAGATAACCCGCAACAAAAATTTGCCTTTATTCATGTTATTTTCTGTCATTTCAAACTCCAAGAAAAGCATTAATATTTGTCATACTGCACAAAAGGAACAACTTTAAAATGTTTGTATCAGGCACTGGACAAATGATTTTTTTAGTTACAGGAGTTTTGTTTTTAAAACATGACAGTGATTACCTCTCAGAGAAAGAGACGATCATCACTGTGACTCCAGTAGAAATAAATGACCTGTGGCGTAAAAACGTTGGGAACCTCTGCATGAAATTAATTTTGTGCCGTCATTGTGAAATCAAGCTGTTGAATTAAATCACTGCTTTGTCAGATTTCATCACCTTTCAGCTAAATGAAGTTAATAACTTACTAAGAGGCACAGTCTTTACATATGAGGGACTTTCCTTCACACTCCACTAGTAAAGGGCAGTTATCATAATGCACAGAGCTCCGAGGTGTCGGATTTGCTCGTCTCTAAGAGGAAAACAGTACAAAACATCTTTTTCATCCAAAGTCCTCACTGCAAAAACAATCCATAGAAACAAGTTTTGTCCGAGTCTTAAAACCAATTTTAAAAAACTCAAACAGCAAATGAATTCTAGTTAGTTTTTCCAAATTGTTTCCAGGATTAAAGGACAATTTCTGGAAAATACTGCCTTATTTTATGATCATGTGCAAGTTTTATGATACTGACTCATTTTACATGAACCTGTAGTAGAAATCTCTCACCACTACTCATTACTGCTCAGATTTTAAGACTGAATTTGAGACAAACTGACTTGTAAAGATGGATGTATTTGCAGTAATAAAACATTGAGCTTAAAGTTCAGTGTGTGTAAATTAAATAGTGTCTAAATGTACACTCAGTCTGTGTTCTCAGCTATGAAGGCTGGGTTTTCTTTAGGCCCTCCTTCGCCTGAGGACAGAGATGTTTGGTCTTTATTCGAGTCTGTGGGTGCAGGGTGGGTGGTGTTTGGTTGTGTAGGTGGTTCTGAGGTGGCTGTGCCGTCATCACTTGTGTGTGATGTCACTGCCACCTCGTTCTCAGTCGACACCCGGTCATTAGGCACCTAGCAACAAGAGGAGCAAACAGTGACAGAGGTTGACAAGAAGCCAAGATGGAGGACCGTTTTAGAGCTGTCTTCAGTTCACTACTGTCTAAAAACTGCGTCTATAAACCAGACTAGAAACAGACATCCAGCTCTGACAGTAAGTGCTGTATGGCTAGCTATCTAGCCAGAGCCACTGGCACACTTATTCTCAAGCTAACTAGCTAGCTTCGATTACATTTGCTAACTGAGGTGCAGTTATGTGCACAAAGATAAATGAAAGTCAAACCTTATATAAAGACTTAACATAGAAGTCTAAACTCCTCAGCTACACCAAATAAATCTTGACCATTCCCTCCTAAGTCTAATCCTATTTTTAGCTGATATTCAGCAGTTTTAAAGATATGTACTTGACCTCATGTCTGCTCAAAGTAATAACATGTTTCAGGGGGTAAAGGGAACATTAAAAGCCAGTACAGACAGCAACACTCTGCTTTTCTGTTCCGATGTTCAGCTACTTCAGGCCAGACCAGTCTGAGTGTTGATTTTACACTAGGTAAAAGTCCTTCAGGGCAGATAGTGGAACAACCTGCTGCTGGATAACACATAAGCAGAGGTTTGATTCTCTGCCTGAAAAGTCACCTGGGAGGGCAAATGAAGTCAGAAATCACCTGTTTGGGCTCTACATATAGAGTCTGTGTAGTTACTGTAGTATGTTGCCATTTTAGTTCCGAGCCTTTGGTGTCACTAAGGGTGACAAACGTCTTTATTTTTGTGTAACCAAACATGACCTCTTAGGGCATTTTCAGAGCCGCCCTTGTTCAGCCTGAATGAATGAGACTCTGGTTTGTTTTCCCCTTTGGTATGATTCATCTGGGCTGATGCGAACACAGATCCTTCCCTTACAGGAAGTTTTTCTGTCTGTGATTGGATGTCGATCCAACTACAAGGAACAGCCAGCGAAAGCAACAGTTACAAACAGCTAGCTTGCAAGTATGTCTTGATAACCGGGCAGATATGAGCTTCTTCAGGACCGCTTTCCTTTCTCACAGACAGGAGCAAACAGAGTGGTGCACAGCTTTTAGTGATGGAGCCTGCCCCTGCTTATATTTTGTGTCTGTGTGAAAGAAACCAAACCAAGCGGAAAACTCATAAAAGTTAACCAACTCATCAACTAAATCAAACCAGAGCAAAGCAGTTACACGTTCGAAAACGATTTTACACACATCTAGCAACTAAACAAGAGCTGCACTAACTCGGTGGGCCAGTCTGAGATACAGTATCTATGTAGATGTCAGCCTGACACCATCTAAACACACAACACAATGGAAAGATTAGTTCCCAGTGAGCAACAGAGAGCTGAGGACTCCAGTGTGGCCTCAAGAGGGTGGAGTCATGAAGTAACATCAGTAGGGGAGGATATCAGCCATGCATGCATGTCACAAATCGGGTGTGGAAGCTTTTACACAGAGACATACGCATGCATGTACGCACCCACATACCACACACACACACACACAGGTAGAGATGAGTCACCAAATGCAACACACACATATAAAGGCAACCCTGAACACCCCCTCACACACACAGTAGTTTTCCATTGACCTCTGCACACAAATCGTCTCACCTTTCTTCAGTGTGTGTGTGGCAGCCGGTTAGAGGAAGAAGTGTCAGAGGATTCAGATTAGTGAGAGATAGACACATTTCCTACAGAGTCACTGAACTATCAGACAAACACAACAGATGGGAACAGTTTGTTAATAAACTGTTAAATAAAATGTTAGGTTTTAATGATGAAGGAGCCTCCTGTCAGTCGGTCCAATCAACCACAAGCACCCACACTGGAGGAATTTGGGGAGTTTTTTGATGTAAATGTATCCAAAGCTACAAACATTGTTCACCAAATCAAATATTCCTCCTACAACTAATAATGGTTTAAATCGCCCAGAACGGTAAACACATGGGAACTGTGTTTGATGACAGACTGACACTTGGTGAAAAGTCAAGACAACATCAGTCGGTTAATAGATTAGTCACTGACAGGAACTTTATCGACAACAATATTGATGCTTGATAAATGATTTAAACAAAAATACAAAATATCCTCAGGCTGTTTTCCTCTTTGGGCTCACGACTGTTGGTTGGATAAAACTGGTGTGAGGACGCCATCTCAGGCTCTGAGAACTCAGCAGTCCACAATCCAAAACATTCACTCCAGCTCCCATCTGAGAGGCTCAAGAAAGTTTGATTTCTTTGACTGATTTATTGCTTTCTGCGGGTCAGGGAATCAATGAATTGTCTGTTTGTACTTAACTGATCGGCTGCTTGTATGGACTGATAGGTGCATCATCTGTCCTCATCGCATTGGATGATTAAATCTTGTTTTAACTTTTTTAAACTTTTACTTTTATTTTTATCTATGCATGAACATAGTTTACATAATTTTTCACAAAACCAGACTGGCTGAAACGATAAATTTTACTGAACTGAAAGAATTTTCTCATTCTAGAGATCTGAAAAAGTCTTGTTTTCTCAAACAACTAGCAAATGACAGGATTCCTCTCAAGCTAAATGACCTGTGCTTTGATTTTAACCTAACATGAGCCTTTTGCTTGAACAAACCACTCTACTGCAGACTTTTAGTCTTAATTCAAGTGATTTGGTTCACCTGCAGTGGCCGAGTCTCTGGAGGAGGTCTGCTGCTCCTTGCCATGCTGATCAGCTCTCTGATCTGGACAATGGCGAAGGCGATGGTGACCCACGGGGCGCCGGAGAGCATCCAGGCCGGCTGGGTCACGTCCTCCTGATCCTCCTGGTGCTTGGTCTTCCTCAGAGGTGCCACGGCATCCTGTGTCAAGCTATCGGCGGTGTTGTGGCTCGGCACCAGATTGATGGTGGCAATGGGAACTGGGCTAGAGGCGACTGGGATGTTCTCTGCCAGCATTTTGTCCTCTGAGAAAAAATAAAATAAGATGCTAGAAAGGAAACAACCTGGTTTTTTAGATCCTAATTTAACAAGCTCGCGTGATAGGCTGGCGACCTGTGCAGGGTGGACCACGCCTCTCGCTCAGTGTCAGCTGGGACTGGCTTTAGCTGCCCCGCAACCCTCGTCAGGATAAGTGGTATATAAATAGATGGATGGATTTATCTTAATATTAAAATTTAGATCTTATCCCAGATTTAAAAGGAGGTTACAAAAGAGCAGGTCTGGTAGTACTTTCTGGATATATAAACAGAACCAGGTAAAACCAGTGTGTGCCTGTGTGACTTGTGTTATTATGATCGTGTAATTTGTTCTGAGATCTCCTCTGCAGTAGAAAAGCCAAAACTGTGCTAATCTAATAATAAGTGCATATGCTTTCCATTAAAAAACAGATCACATCTTTCACCACATGCAAACTGTATGTTTGGACGGTGTACGCTAGGTTGTTCCCACCTTCCCCCTCGGCTCGTCCAGTCAGACATTGGATGAAGGAGAAGATGAGGAGGATGACGAGGGAGGCCATGCCGATTCCTCTGAACGTTTCTGCAGCACCTGCAGAGCAAACAGAGAACCCATCAGGGGTGTCAGATTTTACTCAAATCCTTGTGTATCAATACCTCAGCTTAATCGGAAGGTGCCCTTCAAGACTCATATTTAAAGTTGGGTCACCACAGATTCGCTGTTTCACTGCATTGTGACATTAGCCTGTATGCTCCAGTTCTAGCTCCTGTGGGTGAGTACAGCAGCAGTCCTGTTGTTGTGTCATACCAAAGTAGCTGACTAACACTCCTCCCACCATGGCTCCACAGCCGCGCCCCAGGCCAAGGTGCAGGCCCTGCAGGATCCCCTGTGCTGATGTTCTCAGTGCTGGTGGGACCGCAGCGCTCAGGAAGGAGATACAGGCTGCCCAAACTGAGGCATGGGTCACACCTGGAGGACACACGGGGACAGGCGGGGGTCACATTGTTTTAAATACACTATAATCTTTATTTTACTGTACAATTTTATAGCCTTTTCTTCTCTGTTTATTTTATATTTATGAAACATTTTCTAAGAAGAAGTGTATTAGCAATAAAGTATCAGGGTGAGCACAGAGCCATTAAGTGTTGATGGAACAGATTTATTGTTGGTTTGATAAATAACTACCCTATGACACAACAATAATATCCAGAAACAATGAGCACACTTATAGGAAACAGGAAGCCACAGTTGGCACTTGCTCAACACATCCAAAACCAAAACCAGATCATTAATCTCCAGCACAACACCCACCCAAATCTTCCATCTCAGGTGAACCCATATCCATCCTGACTCACTGAAACTTATTTGCACACACATCAGCAACACACTGAAGGGGACATCAACTCAGAGCAGACCCTTTAAAGATTGCAGCAGAAACTGTTCTCCCAGCTACTCATAGACCTGCACAACACTGCAGCTCACTGTCCTCCCTCCCATCCTTTCAATCACTGCTCATAAATCATCTAAAATCAGAAGGACAGGTAAAATCATAACATCTGCCATTCTACTCCAGATCTGGTTTGACCTCTGGGAGGCGCTACAGGGCTCTGTCCACCATGATAACCTAGTTTACAGTTAGGAGCTTTATTTTATTGTCATTGTAACATTGTGACACATACAACGAAATTTTGTTTGGAGCCGAGGTCCCCGGGCCACTGCTCCCATCACAGACGACTTGGGAGGTTCAGTGTCTTGCCCAAGGACACGCCAACATGTGGACTACAGGCACTGAGATTTGAACCTTCAACCTTCCGGTTGGGAGACGACTGCTCTACCCATTGCACCACTGTCGCCTCCCGTTATTATTTTAACAGTTTTTTTCCTTGCTGCAGTAAAGACTGGCCTAAACCAATCCAGTATTAACATCTAATTACTGGGCAAAATAATAAATGATACTGTTGGAGAGTAACTACAGTAAGTACATTTATTCAAGTACTGTACTTAAGTACATTTATGTGCTATCTGTACTACACATGAATTTTTACTTGGACTTGGCTACATTTCAGAGACAAATACCTTTACTGCACTACATGTATCTGATAATTTCAACAGTAGACTCATCAGACTCTATTGATCCCCGATGAGAAATCCACCAGCTACCCAGCAGGATGTAAAGTACTTCACAGTATAAGTATATAAGGTAGTTAACATCAGCTCCACCTTTACCAGCTGCAGCATTAAAGTGATGAACACAGTAATGGATCAGTCAGTAGGATCCAGTATCAGAGACATTAATGTGAAACAGGCTGTTCTGCAGGAGGAGTACTGTTGTTTCAACTGTATTTTGATGCTGGTATTTTTGTACTTTCACTTACATCTTAAATGTAACAGAGTATTACTTAAGTAAATAAAGTGATTACTTCCACCACCACTGATAAATGGACCCAACAGTGAAACTGCACAAAACATTTTCCTGCACTAACACTTTTATTTTGCAGGCAGTTCAACTTCCTGTCTGAAGACTAAAACACTCAGTGTCACATGACCATCTCACCCTCTCGAAGCTTATCACATGCCCAGTGCTGAGGTAAACAACGGAAATGTAATCTGATCCCTTCTTGATCTTTTCTGTTGTGTGGTGATGTCACCGTCTCAGACTGAAGGCTGGAAATGTTACAAACTTGTCACTGTTTGGCTTCAGAGTCAACACAGGCAGTGAACTTGGTGCAAAAGCTCTGAATTCATTTTCACTTGTTTATTCTGGGAGGTGTGAGTGTTTTCTCAGGGTGGACGTCTCAAACAAACCTCCCAGATTGATCTCTTTCCTATAGTTACTGTGCACTCTACTTTCTTATGGACTTGTCTGTTTTGCTTTACATTTTTATCTACCTTGATGTTTCCACTCATATTGTCCATTTAATGCTGTAAGTTCCATGTGAAAAACAGA